GAAAAAATAGATCAAACGACAACTGACCAATAATATATCAGACTCGGGCTCCATTAGCAACCCTTAATAAATTATACATCTATAAAGTCACAAAATACCGTTTAATTATTTATTAAAGCTTTAATACCATGATAGAAAATAGGGTGAGGGGTCCTTACTTATTTCGGGGTCTGAAATCGACTCTACAGTGCGCCTACGGGCTGTCCTTAATTTCTCTAAATTTTTTCTGAAAAACTAAAATGCATTACCGGTACCTGCACGTGTCCCAAAAAATCCCAAATCAGGCCTAGGGCCCCTTTCGGCCAATATCAAAATTCCGGCACGGCGGCTTCGTCGTGCTCCGGCGACGGCGCCGCCACCTGCGGTGGTGATCCGCCTCGGGTTGGCCATTTTCAACTGAATTCGGCTAAATTTGCATCGGTCCCTGTGATAAAACAACCCTGGGGCCCTCGGTGGGCCAAAAAATCACAAAAAATCGAGACTTACCGGCAGCGGTGCTCTCGGGTGCGGCGGCTCCTCCGGCGTGAGTCACGTTTTGATGTTTGGCTCCGATAAACCTGTAGAGAAAAGAACGGTGATCACAGTGGTATAAAATTTGCATCGAACGGAGGCCGAGAAGGGCCTCATGGGAGGCAAAAACAGAGGGGAGTCGCGGCGGCGCCGCCAGACTTCGACGGGTTTTTTCGGCCGTTTGGCCGGTGGTTTGGCTCCGGTTTGGCCATAGGCGGATTCAGCATCGAAAAATGAGACAGAGGGAGAAAATTTACCTCGATTGGAGTTCGGAAACTTCTCCGGTGCGACGACAGGTGGTGGCGGCCGGCTCATCCGGCGTCTGGTTCTTCTTCTCCGGCGAGGCACTAGCGGCTAGGGTTTTGTGGTCAGGTGTGGGTGGGGTTATTTATACCCTTTGCCTTTTAATCTCAACTGTCCATCAAGATTAAATTTGAACCGTCCGATCGCGATTTAATTGGGATTAAATCTGGACCGTCCATCGTGATGCGATCTGGGCCGTCCGTGCCTGATTAAATCTGGACCGTCCGTACGCGTGAATCTGGGCTGTCCGTGCGCGTGGGAATAGATCTGGGCCGTCCGATCGCGCGCACGTGGATTGCCCACGTGGCCCGTCCCATGTCAGAGTTTTCTTGCCACGCAGCGTGTCCTGGTTGGCTGGGACTGCTGACCGGGCTGCTGACGTGGCACAACTTTTCTAAATTGCGTTTTGACCCCCGATTTTTGATTTTCTTTTCAAAAA